TGGAATACATAATACCTAATATCGAATGCACAAAAATCGAAAGTTGTTGAAAAAAACGATACATATGTTAAACTAGTAATATCTAGTACAGAAAGAATAAAAAAATTTTGAAAATTAAAAAGTACTCTGGTGAATACACACATTTTTGGGATATATTATCTCGGCATACTATCACTCAGGAGCCAAACGGAGTGTCCCATTGCGGAGTCCAAATTGCGAGGCCCGTTTAAGCCTGTTCGGCCCATTGGGGTGGCCTTGTACCCATCCCCCTTCTCATATAAATAGGAGGTTTCCCTCTTTGTTCTGGGATTCCTTTCTCTCTCTCTAGACCCCGCCTTCTTATCCACCATACCCCCTTTTCTCTAGAAAACATTCGAGCTCCATTAATGGCATCTAATCTTGATTCTTGTACAATGTAATAATGAGGAGAGTCTAATGATAATGAGAATGACTTAGACATTAGCCCGAAAAGTCTCATGGTTTTCACCCTTTCGGGTCTTCAGGTTTAAAATGGGGTGTTCATACGTTTATTTACAGTTTTATACATTTATTTACTATTTCGTGTTGGATTTATCTGAGCATTGGCGTCATATGTGGGAAATGAACCCACGACCATCATGTTGGATTTTTCATGTAAATAGTTGTGTATGTACTACAAATCAATTTTAATATTCACATTTTACTTTTTATTTTTACACTTAGTTGTCAGTGCCATACATAACTCTAGAGCGAATTTATTTTAACTTAATACACTTATCATGGTTTTAGCAAAAAAGGAAAGTGAGAACCTTCTAACGGGACAGACGGAACATTTAGCAAAATCCTAAGACTTAAGATAAGGGAAAATTCTACAAAATCAGCCCCTACAAGTGAGAATTTCACAAATTCTTACAACCAATCGGGCATAGCTTTGGGGTAGCTAGGTTATAACCTAGCACCGATTGAAACTCACAAACCAAGAGTTAATAGCAACTAATTAATTAGTATAATATCAAGAACTCTAGAACCAAGCATTCCAGTCCAACTGGTTGTGAGGTTACCGTGCCTAGTAGGAGGCCTCGAGTTCAAATCCCGCTAGGCAGACAGGGGTTGGAAACTCAATGGATTGAGTTTCAGCCCTGATTACTCCGGGCTCCCCCAGACCCCCCTGGAGTAAAAAAAAATCATGGTTTTAAATACATGACCGTCAATTTTTTTTACTAATCCATAGAAAAAGTAAATGGTTATGTTAAAATTAAATTTATTTTAGAAATAATCTTAATAGTTTACATATTAAATGATATAGGTCAATATTTGGGGAAGGAAGAAACAATTATAAACTCGCTATTTCATTCCTTTTTTGTTTTGAAATAATTAAAACTTATGGTATACATGTGATTTATACATCATTGTACTACATAAAAAGAACACAGAAAACTGCATATCAATATTTGATTAAATTAATATGAAATGATAAATATTTTGTTTTGGATAAGTTAGAACATAAAAATAAAAAGATATATAAAATTGAGTGATTTAAGCAATGTCATGTTTTGAGACGATACATAAGAAGAAAATTAAAACAGAGACATATGTTCTTATCAATTGAAACATTATTTAATTGAAGAACTTTTTAGTGCAAAACATAATAAGACTATAAAAAATGCAATAATACTTAAATGACAAAATAAGGATAATAGATAAAAATATTTCAGTAACTCTTATATTGACTTTAATTATGTTCAAACTCTACCACACATGAATTTGAAAGGGATATGCCAAATTTGTCCAAAAATGTTTTGGCACGAGCTAATTGACATGAAATAGTTGATCAATCCGTGTCAAATATGTGTCAATAATGTTTTTTTTTGTAGTGACATTGATTGTAAGAATATACTAGTCACTTTAATCAAGATCTGTCTACAAGTTTTATTTTAATAATATTTTAGGAAAAATCTCTATACAATTTCAAAACAAAAGAAGCTTAAAAAAATACTCCGTACCACACAAAGGAGGAAGCTAAAAGAGTACAAGCCAAAGGAGTCAAAGTAAAGGAAGCTAAAAAACAAAGGAACAGAGGAAGCTAAATCAATGCAATACAAAGAGAGTAGCTTAAAATATCGAAGCTCAGAATCAAACCCGTGACTTATAGAAGCTTATAGCAATGCATTATCAATGTACGCCATCCAAAGTGTTGCAATTAGCTGGTGCAATAAGTTATACAGCAAAACAATGACAAGACTGCAAATAGGGAAATCTTTTTATTAATTAAGACCCATAAAAAATGTACCATTGTACTTAAAATGTGTATTTGAACATTAAAAACGTGCATCAATATTTATAACATAATTAGGGACATGAATGCAACTGTATTACAGCAACTTAACTTAGTACATACACTGATACAGAAAGTGCACTCATATGAGCAAACTTAGCATATACTCCGTATATGATAACGATCAATCTTTTACATTTATGATTTTGCCGAAATGTGTTCTACAAATGAACTCATCCATCCATTTTTGTGATAAAAAGGAAAATATTTATTTCTTATTTTCATGGAAAGACTGCTTTTCATTTAAACTTTTCTATGTGTGTGTGTGAGGAAGCGCTCCAACCCAACTGGTCGCCGACTCACTCTCTCTTAGGGGAGGTTCGGGTTTGAAACTCAATGGAGTGAGTTTCAGCCCTCATTACACCAGGCCCCCAGCCCCCCTCCCCCAGACACCCCCTGGTGTGTGTGTGTGTGTGTGTGTGTGTGTATATATATATATATATATATATATATTCATACATACATACTACATATCAAAGTCCACATTTTAATTACAGACTATCTCCGGAGATACTTATGACTGTGTAGATATCTATGAGCAACCTGGCATGGATGATCCTACAATGGACATGGACAAACTTAAGGTATGTACGTTTGCTATTGTACTCCATCAAAAAATGTATTCTTCTTTTTTAGTCGGCATGGTTATTAAGGCTACGGATTAAACTATTTATAGTATCTCCAATGCTACAATTTATACGATGTAGATGTGGCATGAAAGAGATAGATCCATAAAAATAAAGCATTGTCATTCCTCTCTTTCCACGGTTTTATATAATTTTGTAATAATGTCAACCATAATGTCTACACTTACAATTGTTTTTGACATAGTGGAGAAAAATTTACCAAGAACATGTAAGACCGTTTAAATAAAGAGAGAGATATTTTGTTGACAGATATATGTGTGTTTCTCTCTCATGCCACATGTACACCGATTTTAAATGCAAAAGGATACGGTTTTACTCAAAAATATGATATCATAGCAACCCCGTCCCTTTGCATCGATATAAAAAATATCAATGCAAAGGGACCCGTTTCTTCATCATATCCCTTTACACTATGATATATAATGTAAACCCATTATCATAGTGTAGTCTCACATTAAATTAAGTGTAAATATTGAAGCTAAGTTACTATGACTAAGTTACTACCATAGTCACTCATTTGGGAAGTCACATTTTTTGTAAACAACATTTATATTAGTCATGTATATATGTAATTATTTCAAACCCGTTCGGAAACACTGAAATTGGCCGAATCGGTGTGTTGGCTGAACTGACCGAATTGACTGTTTCTGCTAAATTATGAAAACGTTATAGTTTATTAATCAAATAAAGAAAAAATTATATAAAAATAGGTCAAATGGTCCTCTACAGTAACTTTGGCCAATTCAGCTTAAAAAGTAACTTCAACCTTACTTATTTTGATTACTACACAATTCAGCGAGCGAAATCAAGAATTACGTGTTTGGTTAAAAAGTTGGCCAATAAGACTGATAAGCTGGAAAAAATAGATTCACTAAACGGGAGAATGATCATGTCCAGCCGCAGGGATAGGACCCTCCGTCCAGCCGTCGCCGTTTGGGGCGGTTCCTGGTGGAATTTTTTGATGATTTTTTGAGCATGGTCACCATCAAGTCTAGTTTATCCACACAAAGAGTCAGCTAAAAATTCGATCGGGAAGGTAGTCAAATAATTTGTTGAAGATAACTGCGCCAAATTATACATATAAAACACTGTTATTTTAAAAAAAAAATTATTTGACTGCCTTCTCGATCGAATTGTTTGTTGAAATTTTTTGTGGTTAAACTAGAGTTGATGAGGACCATGTTAAAAAACATTCATAAAAAAACTCCACCGGGAACCACCCTTAATGATGGTGGATGGACGGCGCCTCCTGTCCATCCGGATGAACATGATCTTTTTCCCACTAAACGGTCTCTTTGTATATTCCCTACACCCATGAAAATATTGCTTGTTTGACTTGGATCAGAGTTAAAGAAAATGAAAATAAAGTGGAAATGTGTGGTTGTGATTGAGTAAGAAAAAATTAAATGAATGTTAGCCACACAAAACTTTCCAAAAAAGGAAACACATTTTTTTATGGGATATCCCAAAATTGTAAGTGAGAAGAATTTTATGGGAAATAAGAAGTTACAATTTTCTAGTTTGTTTCTCAATTATTGAAATCAAATGACAATTTTAATTGTGTGCAGATGCTTATTGCTAAGGAATTAGAGAAGCAAAATGCTAAACTTGCCTTAGAGGAAGACCAAAGTTTAACGGCTAATTCGACAGAATTTTACGACTTCAACCCCAGAGACATATGGTTAAACAAAAAAGGGTGTCCTATGGGAAGTGTTCCCATTCGTCGATTGTCTACGAAACAATTAAAAAAGATTGAAGAGCTACACAAAGTCCAATACATCCCCTTTCAAAAGACTGAAAATCAGTCCTACCTCAACACAGGAAGCTTTCTTGATGTAAGAAGTACCAACTTTCAAAGTTTCATATTATCATATGTATCACCAACTTAAATTTACCCACATGGGTAGGTCAACGCTGACATTTGAGTTGAGGTCTCACATTCAATCCTGACAGCGACAGTGCTGGAGGTTTATCCAATGTGGTGGCTCTTTCTGCACACCAGGCTCCGAATCACCTTGCTCGAAACTGCTTTAGATTATTCCATGATTTATTCCTTCATTCTATCGGGTTGGATGCGGATGTCTGGGTTGTGCGATTCCACCTTTTGGGTTAAAGTTAAAATGTTTATATCAAAGTCTTACAAGAAATTTTGTCATCAGTTTGCAGGTATTATCGTGCCGGAAGCTCCTTCAGGGTACTTTATAGGTGCAAAAGCTACCATGACTATATGGAAACCCAAACTGAGGGGGGATCACCAATATAGTTCGGCCTCAATATATGTGGAAAATGGAGATAATCAAATAAGATCTGGATGGATAGTTAGTTATTCTTCTATTGATATTTAATCAGATTTTGAATATATTTTGAAATTAGTCAAGTGATAAGTTTATGTCTATTCTAACTTATTGTGTTATGTTCAATTTACTTTTTAGGTATACCCAGCATTATATGGTGATTTTAAAACTCGACTATTTAGTCGATGGACGGTGAGTGTCTTTTTAATTCTTCAATTTATACCATTATTACTAGCTAGTTTATTTTAGTAACTATCATCATCATTACTTTTATCAATATTTGGTTGCAACAAATAACCCACTTTTATCCTATCATATTTACAGAGTGATAATTATGGAAAAACGGGATGCTATGTCAACCATTGTCCAGGATTCATAATACTTTCTAATTTTATACCACTAGATTATGCATTTCCAATGACGTCTGCACCTGAAGGGACACAATATGATGTTACCATTGAAATTATCAAGGTATGATTTGATTAAAGTTTTTAGGGAAAAATACAGAAAAGGTACTTGTGGTTGGGCCCGTTTTCAGATAGGGTCATGTGATTCATTCTTTACCAAAGTGGTTCATGTGTTTGAATTCCGTTATCACAAGAGGGTCGTGCCGTTAAAAACGTCTGAAAAAGACCGTTAAAAGTAACTCCGATTTTCAAAAGTGCCCGGGAAATTAAAAGAAAAATACCGGAAGGTGCGCCTCGTCAAGATGACATCCAAACCACCTTCGCCTTTCGATTTTTCAGATCTGTTTGAATTATTTTTTAAAAATGATTTCGCTAATATCACTTTTCTGGTGGACTTTCCAACAAGGGTGGGTTAAAACAAAAAAGGAAAGATGGCCCCGCGACCGTCTTATTGAGGCGCACCTTCAGGTATTTTTCTTTTAATTTTCCGGATACTTTTGAAAATCGGAGTTACTTTTAACGGTCTTTTTCAGACGTTTTTAACGGCGTGATCCCTCTTGTGATAACGGAATTCAAACACATGAACCACTTTGATAAAGACTGAAACACATGACCCTATCTGAAAACGGGTCCAACCACAAGTACTTTTTCCGTACTTTTTCCCAAGTTTTTATGTAACATATATCAATGATGAATGGCAATGATTCTCCAAAAAAATTTGAAGAATGGTAATGGTAGAAATGATTTTATCTTGATATCCTAAGCCAATTTTTGGTTGTTGGCAAAACCAATATTTTTTTTCTTAAAAAAATATGATTTCATCTTTTGACAAAATTTACTCATATTTGGAGTTGTAAAAATGATGAGATTTTTGAGTTGCGGAACCGATTGGATCCGAACAATTATAAAAATGTTGGGTTAAATATATATGACTATTATTTGAAAAGGTTTCGCTCTTGTTCCGTGTAATGGTTTAGTTTTTTATTGATGAAAAAAATTGTTACTAAATCATTAAAGAACCGTTAATTGATTAAATAACCACATATATACATGACATCTATGTATCAAACATGCACATTTTTTCTGGTAAATGGGGTTTAAATGTTTTATTCACTTGTTAATGTTAGTTTTTTTGTGTACGATAAATTTCTTAATGTTGAGAATATAAGTTTTACTATCTAGTTAACTAAAAGAACTAAACCAATATGATGTACGGAGTATTAAATATTTTTACATTAATATTCAATAAAATTGTTGGTCACAAACTGATATCGCATTACACTTTCTGCATTGCTTACTAAGGACATGTTTACTTCACCGGTTATTAAACAGTGCTTATTAAGATCCGTGTTAATAAGCCGCGCATAAAATAAACAATATTGTAAGACCGTGTTTACTTCAAACGGTTTAAAACACCGCTTAACATTAAAATGTCCAAAATAACCCTATACATATATATACACACAAACATTCATAAACACAAGTATATAATATAATATGTGTACCCATACCCCTAACCCCTTACCCACCCTACCTTACCCCGACCCCACCCACCGCCTACCCCTACCCCCTACCCCTACCCTACTTACCTGACCATACCCTACCTACCCGACCCTACCCCTACCCGACCCCACCCTAACCTGTCCCCACCCTACCACAACCCTACCCCCGACCCCATAGACCCCTACCCCCATAGGCCCTTACCACATTGACCCCACCCCGACCCCACCTTACCCCAACCCCGCCCCTACCCCTACCCTACCCAACCCGGGGTAGTGGTAGGGTGGGTTCGGGTAGGTAGGGTGGGGGTTGAGGCGGGGTAGGGTAGGGTGGGGTCGGGTATGTGGGTAAGGGGTGGGGTAGGTAGGGTAAGGGTAGGTGTGTGGTCTGGGTAGGTAAGGTAGTGGTAGGGTGGGGTCGGGTAGGGGTAGGACGGGGTAGGGTTGGGTTGGGTAAGGTGGGGTCGGGTAGGGGTAGGGTAGGTGGGGTAAGGGTATGGGTGGGGTCAGGGTAAGGGTAGTGTAGGTGGGGTAAGGGTAGGGTGGGGGTCAGTTAGGTAGGGTAGGGGGTGTCTGGTAATGGGGTAGGGTAGGGGTAAGGTGGGGGGTACGTGTAGGGTGGGGTCGGACAGGTAAGGTAGGGGTAGGGTGGGGTCGGGGTAGTGGTAGGGGGGTCGGGGTAGGTAAGGGTATGGTGGGGGTCGGTTAGGTAGGGTAGGGTAGGTGGGGTGGGGGTGGGGTCGGGGTGGGGTCGGGGGTAGGGTCAGGGTAGGTGGGGTAAGGGTAGGGTGGGGTCGGGATAGGGTGGGGTTGGGGTCGAGGTGGGGCAGGGATAACAATAGGTTAAGGGCAAGGGGTAAATTCGGAAACTGAAAAAGCTTAAAGTGCCGCTTAATTAATACATGGGGGGTGTTATGCTTAATAAGCAGCACTTTAAGCACCTCTTTCAGTTAGTAAGCGGCTTTTTAAGCAGTGTGCGTGTTTACTTCACCTGTCTTACTAACCTAACTGTGACTTTAGCAGTGAAGTAAACACCTCCTAATAAATTTTTCAAACTAATATAGTGAGTGAGATGTGAATAGTTATTGTATGAGTAGAATAATACAATATAAAAACTCGAGTAAACAAGCAAGCATTCTTAATAATATTTGATTGATAACAATTTAAAGTGCATGCAATTAATATTTGCTTTATACCACTTATTAGTATTAGTTACATTGTAAGTATTAGAAAACCAAAGATACAAAATGAAATAAAAATAAAATACTTCGTAATAAGTTTTATTTTTCTAGAATTTCCTTTGAATTAAAAACATGTAATGGAATGACAAAAAAAAAACTACTCCGCATAACCCAAATTTTAGCATCCCAAAAAGCCTACTTGACTATGAAACAAAACCAACCTTATATCCTACTACGTCTATAATCAAAATCAATGATTCTATATATTGAAATGACATGTGTTGCTGATTGGCAATAATAATGACACATACAAGTGAAATAAACACATTATAGTTATGATATCCTTCAATATGTAATGGACCAATTTTAAAAAGTAAATAAATGCAAAACATAGGAGAATGCAATAAGTTAAAAGAACTTAACACTTCAATTTTAAAATAAATAGGTACTTTTATTTCTATTTGGTGCATGTTTGGTAAGCATAAGTCTCTACTTTTAACTTTTGTAATACGGAGTAGTTAAAAAGATTTTAAAAGCCTTTAATTGTATAGTATGTTTAGGCCATGATAACTTATAAGAGCTTTTTTCAAAATAAAGGATGCATAAAAACTTTCTAGTTAATCAGAATAGGTGCGGGAGTCACAGAGAGGAAATTAAGTTATTGTCATTTCATTTCATATATTCTACTACGTAGTATGTAATAGAATAAAAAGAAGAAAATTAATTTTCTTCATTTTCACATTATTAAATTCATTATGTTCCCCTCCTAAGGGCATGTTCTTACGCGTTACTCACCCGTCCACCATTGGTTTGAGAAGCTACGTACACTGTGTAACATCTAAGAAAAGTCTATAGTTTTTTGCATTAATTAATTAGTCACAATAGCTTGTGTATAAAAAAGAAACTCAATCAACCGGTCAACTTTTTAATGAAACAGTTGTCACCTTTTTGTGAAGATCTTTTCGGTAACTAAAAGTTAACATTTACTAAAAAATTCACAAATATACCCTTCATAGAACTAGAAGCTTATTAATGACTTTTTATACGGGTGTCATTTATTTATATGTTTTGTAAAATCTGTGCATAATGTTTTGTTTCAACATAAATGTTCGATCATTAGGTTTCATCCGATCCACCCGGGTGGTACCAAATGTTCAATGGTCAAATTTTGGGTATGTGGACATCTTCAATATTTTCGAGCATGAGTGAAAGTGCCATTCAATTGCGATTTGGAGGGGAGTGTTTCAAACCCGAAGGTGAAGAAGCTAGTGCTCAAATGGGAAGTGGTGTATTTGTGAATGCGCAATATGATAAAACTTCCTACATGCGACAAATTACTTATACCGATCTTGTTTATGGCGGAGCTAATCTCGACAATTCTAGGGTTCAAGTCCATGAGTCTAGATGTTACTATGTGGCTGGTAACACATATAATACTAAAGATCCATGGTATGCATACAATTTTTTCTTTGGAGGGCGTGGTGGTGAAGACGAGGAACGTTGTGTGTATAGTTAAGTGTATTAATAAAACTAGCAAAGTACGCACTACGTGCGACTGATGTCCAATGTATGACTCAAAAGCATTTACGTTTTAATATTTTCTATAAAACTTCCATAAAGTAATGTTTTGGTATAATAACTGTTTTGCATAAGATGTTCTCAAAAATAAAATCAAACATCTTTAGGAAAATGAATAGATGTTTCAGGCTTTGGTGTTTCGAAAGCACCTTTATTTGATATTTTAAAAGCCGGCTCTAAACAGGCACTTCCGGTTTTTAAAAAATGAACATTGGAAGTGATGTGTGCTTAGTCTGGAGGCTTTTGCGGGCAATATCTTAAACACTCTTAATATAATAGGGAGGGTGAGGGCCTTAAATATGTCACAAAACACTTCATTAACTCAAGTCAGCGATAGTTGGGCGGAAAAGATAATCAGAAGGGAGAGGGGAGAGAGGTGGAGTTTACGATGCGAAAGGAGAGAGAGAGAATGCAACAAATTTAGAACAAAGGAATGGAGCTGGATTATTAGGGAAAAGATAAAGAGGGTATACTCAATGGGGGACCCATGTTAAAACACGGGATTCCATCCTAAAATGTCAACCTAATAATTAATATAACACTTTGTTCATCCAAACTTTTCCGGTGTGGGATATTTAACACACTAAGGGTCCCATGGGGTCCCGGGACCCAATGGGCTTTAAAAAAACACCTATATATTATACTCCGTATATATTTTACCTAAAATTAATAACTAATGGTATATATACAACAAAAACTCCATGAAAACTAAAAGCTTGGAGTGGTCGAGTGGGAGCTTGCGGAAGCATTCTGTGTTTTCTAATTCGGAGCCTCGGAGGGTTATAGGTTCAATTCCTTGTGGCTCTAATTTTTGTTATTTTATTTAGACTTGTTCTTCTAAAACACAAAAACTACATCGTTTTGGCCCTTTTTTAAAACCCGATGACCCAATTCAGCCAGCCAAAGTCACGCATGCCCGGGTTTTATTTACCCTTTGCATAATTTATTTATTTTTTGGATTAATTACCAACATTTCTTTGAATATTAAGATTAAATAAATATGAAACATTATGCTTCTTTAATGTTTTTCATATTTTTTATTAATTTAATATTAATTAGAACTACGTTAAGGTAGGGACCCCATCGCTCTATTTTTCTGGGTCCGCCACTGGGTATACTAGAAGAAGCAACTGGTGAGTAAATAGATAACTCGTATCTAGTGAATAAATCAACAGGTACTCCTATTTGGAAATTCACTCATTGTTTTACTCTCATTAAAGAAAATTTGTATTGTAATTAGCTTGTCGATGGATCAAGTCCATATCGAACCGTAGTGTTCTAAACCCGGACCCAAGTCAACAAAGGACCCAAACCCAAACCCATATACCACGTCTGAAAAATTGAACTTGGACCTGGGCCCAACAGGTCTCGGACTGGGTCAGGTAGACCTCCCAAATTTGAGGTGCACGATATTATAAACTTTGTGAAAATAATAAGACATGTATATGAAATAATGTAACGTAATTTAAAGCGCGCAAACTCAAAAGCAAAACATATATTCACGTATAACTCCACACTCTTTGTCTCTTTTTATCGCACAGAAACCTCGCAAAGTACACTAGAAATTAGGTTACCAAAAGATCATTTAGACTACTGAGAGTATGAAAGCATATTACTACGTATATAATTCGTATGATATAATATTAGTTAAAATAATAATGATGATGATGATAATAATAATGATTATATAATAATAGTAATAATAATGATGATAATGATAATAATAGTAATAATTAATACATATAATAATAATATTATTATTATTAATAATAAAAATAATAATAAAAAAATAATAACAATAACAATAACAATAATAATAAGAATAATAGTAATAATAATAATAAGAATAATAATAATGATAGTAATGATGATTATGATGATGATGATGATAGCAGTAATAACATTAATAATATTAATAATTTTGTGTAATTTTTTAGTGTAAAAATTTGTGTATATTTTTTTGTAGCAGCCAATGTAGTGCTTTGTGTCCGCCCCTGCCCATATCGGTTAAAGAAATCGAGCCCGAGTCCGTTTTTAGTTATATACGGAGTATATTAGGATATTGACTTTATAGTTATTGATTACTTTATTGCCGCCCACATCTCACTCAGTTTTAATGCAATATTCACTTTCACACACTTCCTTCAAAAACTAACTTTCACACTTAATTATGCCTTTCAAATGAGCTAGGATTTTATCAAAATAGATAACTCGTATCTAGTGAATAAATCAACAGGTACTCCTATTTGGGAATTCACTCATTGTTTTACTCTCATTAAAGAAAATTTGTATTGTAATTAGCTTGTCGATGGATCAAGTCCATATCGAACCGTAGTGTTCTAAACCCGGACCCAAGTCAACAGAGGACCCAAACCCAAACCCATATACCACGTATGAAAAATTGAACTTGGACCTGGACCCAACAGGTCTCGGACTGGGTCGGGTAGACCTCCCAAATTTGAGGTGCACAATATTATAAACTTTGTGAAAATAATAAGACATGTATATGAAATAATGTAACGTAATTTAAAGCGCGCAAACTCAAAAGCAAAACATATATTCACGTTTTAAAAAATCAAAGTTTAATTTCTCATAGAAAATGAGTAGTTTTATCCAAAATATCAGTTCTTGTGGAGACGTATAACTCCACACTCTTTGTCTCTTTTTATCGCACAGAAACCTCGCAGAGTACACTAGAAATTACGTTACCAAAAGATCATTTAGACTACTGAGAGTATGAAAGCATATTACTACGAATATAATTCATATGATATAATATTAGTTAAAATAATGATGATGATGATGATAATAATAATGATGATAATGATAATAATAATAATAGTAATAATTAATACATATATTATTATTATTATTAATAAAAATAATAATAATAAAAATAATAACAATAATAATAACAATAACAATAATAATAAGAATAATAGCAATAATAATAATAAGAATAATAATAATGATAGTAATGATGATTATGATGATGATGATGATAGCAGTAATAACATTAATAATATTAATAATTTTGTGTAATTTTTTAGTGTAAAAAATTGTGTATATTTTTTTTGTAGCAGCCAATGTAGTGCTTTGTGTCCGCCCCTGCCCATATCGGTTAAAGAAATCGAGCCCGGGTCCGTTTTTAGTTATATACGGAGTATATTAGGATATTGACTTTATAGTTATTGATTACTTTATTGCCGCCCACATCTCACTCAATTTTAATGCAATATTCACTTTCACACACTTCCTTCAAAAACTAACTTTCACACTTAATTATGCCTTTCATATGAGCTAGGATTTTATCGAAAACGGTAACAACTTTGTTACTCCCTCCCTATTTAAAAGACCGCTACGTTTGGTTATGACTCAAGATTTAAGGTAGAATAGTAGGGGTAATGAATAGTGATAGTATTTAATTCTAGAGAGAAGTGAGAGCTAGAGAGAGAAAGTGAGTAAATATATTTCTCAACCCCCTGTAACTAGCCCCTTGGGGTCTATTTATAGGGAAAAATGTGGATTTGGGCTCCTAGCCTTGGGCTTAGGAGGCCCATTACAATAATCATGCCTTCTTTGGGCGAAATAGGGCCACTAATGGACTGAGTACAATACTTAATAAATAAGATGGGGAAACACATTCTGTCACGCCGGAGCCTGGCCGATGCGGTACGTTCTGGCCGATGCGGCCCCATGGCCGATGCGGTCCATGGGCCGATGCGGCCCCCCAGAGCCCGCAAGGCGTTCTGGGTTGATCTGGTTTCTGGCCGTTGTGGGCCCCTCCGGGCCGTAGCGTACCACGTGACTGTCCTGCTGGCGTTCTTGGCCTTTGAGTATGTGGGTCATGGGGTCCAGACCCATATACTCTATCAGGAGTCCCCCACTCTCTGAGTTGAGAAGAAGACGAAGCGAAAGGGAGTAATCTTTTTATTCCTCTAGCCGAAGAGGCTTTTGATCTGGTGCGCTCTATCCCATGTTTTTAGGCCGCTGCATGCCTCCCTATGTTCCCGGGACTGAGATGTTTGCCTGTTTCTTTGCGGGACGATGCGATCTGTTAGCTTCTATTCTCATGTGCAAGGCCGAAGCGTTTAGATCATTCCTGGAATGAAAGTTCATCTCCTACCCCTTTTGTGGACGTCGCGTAGCAAGTCTTGTGTGGATTTGTCTGAGTTCATCTGCAGCCGATGCGCACCTTGGGATGCTGGGTTGTTTTGGGCTGTTGCGTACCTGTTCATGAGGCCAGCGGTGCTTCGCACGCCTTTTTGGACGCAGTGTTTCTTTTGTCCGTTTGTGATGCGGAATCATTGTGGTCTTCATCCTTGAAGATGATGCGTTGCCATGTTTAGTCCAGTTGAGGTTAGTTCTATGGACGAAGCGTTGCCACCATACCCTATTTGTGGACGTATCAGTGTTTGTTCGATGTTCGATGCTTTTTCCGATGCAGTCCCCCACTCCATTAGCCGAAGAGAAACCGAGGCTCAAGGGAGTAGGAGTGGTTTTGAGCCGAAGCGGTGCCTATACACTAGTCGCGACTCCAACCCTTAGGCGAACCTGTCCAAGGTAACCCTGTGGGAGAACCCTTGGACGAAGGCCGCGATGCCAGGGTTATCATCAAACGATTTGTGCCAGTAGCCGCAACGGTATCATGGAAGATGGGACATTATGTAGCCATGGCGAGTTTGCCTTGCTTTGGAGTGATTAGGCCGGTTCCTGCCCTAGTGTTGAAGGCTTGTTGGGCCGTAACGGGTGGTTTGCATTGTTTGGCTAGATTCTTCAAGAATTTTCTAAATACATGAGAAGTGTACCCGCTTCATCCTTACATGTTTTGGACCATGTGATATCTCCATTAAGTGTTTCCTATGGAGCCGATGCGCGTTTCATCTTTCGATTCCAAGTATCGGTTGTCGCGTCGTCGTTGTAGCCATATATTTCTTAGAAAAACTTCTAAGTACTAGAAACTTGTTTTGGTGATGTAGGCGTTCATAGCGTGTCATCGTCGAGGGCCTATTGAAGCCGAAGTGATACCTCATGAAGGTTAGTCATAGGCTGAAGCGGCCGAAGCGGAGATCTTTCTTTG